AGACCCGAGACCCGACCCAAACCAAACCCGTCGGTTCTCGATTCGGGTACCCGTTCGGGTATTTAATTTATGAAGAACCACTCAATTCGGTTCGATTCGGGACTTTTGGACACCCCTAGCTTTAATTTCAAAATTTGAAATTTTTTTTTAATTATTTTTTTTAATTATAACTTCACACGGGCCATTTTGGCCCGTGTGGCTCGGCTCGGAGCCCCCAAATGGGGCTCGGCCCGAGCCTCAGCTCGGTGCGACCGAGCCCGAGCCGGGCCGGCTCGGGCTTTTCCCGAGCCGACCGAGCCGCCGAGCTTTTTTGCCACCCCTAACACCACCATTATTGAACTTCTCAAATAAAGCAAAGAAACCAAGGTATAGAAAACTGAAAAATTCTCTTAATCTTATAGCAATGTTATTTTTACCAGTTTTTTCTTCATCGCATTCCATATTAGTTTAGATCTAGATGGTTCTACAGGTCCCTTCACAGCGGGTCACCATCCTTGCCTTCCTAGAACAGTCGGACATCGCCGCCTATCCATTGGACTTCCTTGACCAGCTCTTCCATAGTATAAAATCCGCTTATGGCTCAAAAACCCACAACTCGAATCAACTCCATCGGACCCACTACTGCCAGGTTCTCTCCGCATGGCTTTACTCCACATATTCGAGCACCGCATTACAAGCGTACCTTACCAAATCCCCACCGTAAATTGCGTCTTATGACATGTCGGTCTTGCGGCAGGGGCTAATCCAGCACCTGGCCAGCCCCCGCGGCCACCCGTGCTAGATCCGCCAGAAGCTGCAAGTTCTCGCCTGGTGAGTCGCCATCCGCCGGGGAAGAAGAAGCTGCACGCCTGGAAGTGGAACCTGGAAATTTTTGCCTCTTTATGTTTTAATTCGTTTGGGCCATATTTAAAAAAAAAAAAAAAGGCCCAATGGCAATTAGTAATAGCCCACAAAACATCACCAATTTAACCCCATTCAATTTAACCCAATTCAATTCCGACAGATAGAGGGCTCAGAGGGGGAGAGTAGCGATTGACGTCGATTAGGGCGAAATCGAAGGTTGAAGATTACCTGGGACTGTGGTCGGTGGACGCCTGGACGGTGCAGTGGTCGGAGGTTGGTGGACTGCCCGGCTACTGGAGCTTCGAAATCAAAGTTCAAAGGTAAGAATCTTTTACAATTTACCTACCTATTTACCTCAAAAATCTTGGATTGTTTACAAATTATTTGAAGAATCTTTTTTTCTGAAACAATCAATCATTTACTCTTTCAGTCAGTTGCAATTTGCAAAGGCAAAGCTTGTAAGGGAAGACGCCTGGAGGCTGGACGGTGCGGTGGTCAGACTTCGGAGGTTGGTGGACTGCTCGGCTGGAGCTTCTGTCATCAAAGGTAAGATTCTTTTACGGTGTTACCCACCTATTTACTTGAAAATGAAGTTATTTTGGACTTTGTTTACTTTCTGGCTCTGGGCATCTGGCTGGCAGAGTGGCAGTATGTTAGCAACTTAGGATTTAGGAACTAAAATACACAGATGATAGAACTTAAGAAAATTACATGGAACATAGTTTGCATTATCTAATTGTAATTTGTGAATAATCTTTGATGACACAGTAAGATTGTATTTTATTTTATTTTTTTAGTATTTTGGGTTGTACTGAAATATATTTTCATATGTATATGTCAACGAACTCCGCGACTCCGCCCTAGCTGAACAAAAGTTCTGGATTCGCCCCTGGTCCTGCCCAATGACTCTGAGACCTGTGTCGACACTCTTGAAAAGGCATTGGGAAGCTGGGGCATTGAATTGACGAAGCCTAATGAGACTTGTGATGTAGTACTGTTATTGCGGCATTAGATTGCACCCACAGTGGCGGTGGGATTTTGGTGTTGGAGAAGGTGGGATTTTGGTGTTGGTTGGGTGGAGGTGGGGTGTTTGAAAAAAATGGTGATTTTTTTTCTTTTAGTTAATGTTTTTAAAGGGAAATTAATGTATGGACGAAAATGCCCCTCCTTAAAATGGTCAAATTATCTCATTTTTTAATTTTCCAGGTTGACTAGCGGTGATTTGGACGGTTTTCGTCCATAGGGACCTCTGGTACGAATTTCGCAAAGGTTTGAGACTTGCGGTGGCACAAAATGAAGGTTGAGGTAAAGTTTGTAAAAAATGAAAAAGTTTGGGACCGCGGCTGCAATTTTCCCTTTAATTTATGCACGTTATGACAATATATCTACATCTCCTATCGGACCCAACAATGATAGTTATACATGTTATATTTTTCATTAATCCTCTCGAATATAATAAAGAGCATTCAACAATTCAATTTGTAGTGAATTAACTGAAAAATAAGTCAAAGATGTGTAATTAATATTACGATTTTATAATAAAGGGTTCATTTATATCTTAGCAACTAAAAATCTAGCCTAAAGTCACAATTTAAAAAAATCATATAAGAACAATGAAACATCACCCACATTTTTAAAATTATGAAGGAAAAGAGAAGAAGCCATGAATTCTTGAATATCTTCAAGTCTTCTTGATCAATTTTTAGTTGCATATTCTTCTTCCTTGCCCAAAAATTAAGAATTATGCTTTAAGAATGAATTCCTTATAACTTGCCCCCCACAATTTCCTTGGAAATAATGATGTTTGCCTCTTTTGATTGCAAGAAAGGCGTCTTAAAAAAAAAACCGGGGGCGTAGGGTACCTCCCGAGCAAAGCAAAGTAGAGAACAAATAGGGAGAAGTCTTTAAAAAAACAAGAATTATGTTACTTGTACATAATTCATTGTATATAATGGTGTTAAGGCCCTCACGTGAAGGGGACCCACTTCGGATAAAAATATTATATAAGCTTTACCCAGAGGTTCCATGTGAGGGTGTGAACACCATTATATACAATGAATTATGTATGTGTATCATAGCCCAAAAAACAAAATGAAGAATTATAATATAGAATTATTATGCCCATGTTTGGCCCCCATTAAATTCCATTACATTATATTAAATTTTTTTCTCTCCTAATTACAATCACACATTCATCAAATAAAATAATATTACACACAAATCTAAAACTTTTTACTACTTTTCCACCACACATTCTCCCATCAATCACTATTCCGAAAATTTTCAACCATAAAAAATGTACAATAATGGGGGCCAAACAGGGGCTATATCATATGAGATGTCTTTAGATGTTGACTAAAGGTTGGTATAATACACAGTCAACACAAGGTAAACATTCTTGTTCCAATTGGTTACCATAAAGACTTTGGGGAGAAAATGGAAACAATTCCCTTTTTCAATTTGAGTCATTTTGTCATGCAATTTTAGTATTTCAACTTCTATTTTCATCCAATTTAATCCATGTAATATTCAGATTATATGTTGTGACACCCCGTACTTAAGCTTCGAGTGTCACGTACTAAACATAATAACCTCTACCCTTGGAAACTTATATATATATTGGAAACTTATTTTCAACTTATAGTAGAATATCTCTGTAAGGTTTAATGACCAGCAAAAGTACATGCTGACCTGAAATTATTCTTTAGATATGCGAACTCTACAGTCACGGTTGGGTGGGGCAGCCAGTTTAAACATTTTTATAAAATTCATTCCAACTCCGTTTTCTATGAAATCTATGGTATTAGAAAGATGTTTTCAAGTAGTTTCCTATGTTAAAATATGGGAAATTTCAAAGATCTTATGATATAGACGTTTACCAAAAACAATGAGGTATTGCACGGAAAATTCAGATTTACCTTTCGACACTTAAAAATTTATATCTTGTGCCACACATATTCAAATTGAGTGATTTTTGTGCTCATGTAAAGAAGACTCAAAGATGGATACTGCAGTGTTTTTAGAGTCTCAAATGGCAGTCTTGGGGTTTGTAATTGCACTTTTAATTGATCATAAGAATCTGTCTAGTTTCTGTCTCTTTTACCATTTCAGGAAAAAAGTCTATAAAATTGTCTTTAAGCACAACATGAAAGATGTGATTACAAAATATACTTCTAGTACCACATTACATCATGCCTTACACATGCTTATAATCAATACCACCAGAAAAAAAATAAGGAAAACAGTCTTTAAGCAAAACATACGGAAAGAAAATTTCGATACAAAATAACTTTGTCCCATCATCGAGTATGTCGACTGACTTCCACCAACTCAACTCAACGATCATGGATCTG